ATCATAATCAAGAGCAAAGATATCAATCCCCTTCTTAAGCAGATCAGCCCAGCGGGGCAGCTCAGAGGCGTCAGGAAACTGCTCGCGCCAGGCGTCGTCGAGGCGAAAGAAACAGCGCTGCGCCGTGTGAAACCTCCCACAAGTCTGGCTAGTGCGGTCACCTGTGCGGATGACGTACGGGCAGGTACCTCCACCCCCAGACCCCCCACGCTGAGAGTACCACTCACGGAGCTGCTGGGGCGACGGGGGCTCGCTGGGACGCTGCTGCTGCTGCCTCTGGCCGCCGCCGAACCCGCCACGCTGCACCGCTCCACCGCGCCCTCCACCAGCTCCACCGCCGCCACCACTGCCACCACTCCCACCTCCACCTCCACCACCGCCGCCTCCAGCACCCCCTGCTCCGCCACTGCCCCCCGCACCACCAGTACCACTCCCACCACTGCCGCCACCGCCGCCGCCCCCTCCACCCCCTCCACCACTACCTCCCCCGCCGCCGCCTCCTCCACCCCGGCCCCCCTTGCCCCTGCCACCCCTGCGCCTCCCACTGGGAGCGAACGCAGCTCCGACCCCCTCAGCACCGAGGTAGTCGACAGCAGCAGCAGATGCAATGGAGGGGAGGAGGTGGGAGGGGGAGCACCCCTCAAAGAAGGGGGTGCGGGGGTCACCACGAGAGGCACCTACAGCTACAATGCTCTTCTCAGCTGCTAGGAGTTCCTTCTCGAGGAGGTCGACAGTGAGGTCAGTGGGGGAGAGGGCGAGAAACTGGTCCCTGACAGTGCGAAGGGAGTCAGGGAGGCGGGTGACAAGGTGGTACAGTGTGAGGTACATCGGGGGTGGGTTCTTGGCGAGGAAGTCGGGGGGGAGTGCGGCACGGTAGCGGAGATCACTCGTACGGAGGTGAGTGATGAGGTCAGCTATAGTGGCAAAGGCAGACAGATCGGGGAAGAGGTAGGGCAGTGAGAGACGGCCTATCGCGGCAGTAGCAGGGGAGGAGTAGCGGGCAACTACAGCGTCGTACAGCTCCTTAGCGGTCTTATGCTGGCCGAAGTGCTCGCGCTCATCTAACGGCAGGTGGCTGCGAACGGTTAGGCGAGCATGGGCGTCACGAGTCTGCCACTGTGAGCGAGTAGTACTGTCAGCAGTAGCAGCAGGTGCGGGAGCAGCGCCGGACGTGTGGTCATAGAGGGAAACATCGTCATTGGCAGTGATCTGGAGGTACAGGTGAAGGTCATCAAGCCAGACATCGAACTAAATCGGGCGGCCCTCGGCGTCAAAGGTGAGAACAGTGGGACTGGCCATAGTGGCAGTAGCAGGAGTAGTAGTAGCAGTAGCAGCAGTAGCAGTAGCAGCAGTAGCATTAGCAACAGTAGTAGCAGTAGGAGCAGTTGCTGCAGGTAGGGCGGCGCGGCTCGGTCAGGGCGGCGCGACTCGGGCGGCGCGACTCGGGCGACGCGACTCGGGCGACGCGGCCCGGGCAGGTAAGGCGGCGCGACGGCGGGCCTAGGCTCGGTGCGCGGTGGTGCCTAGGGTGCAGCTGGCGCGGGCCGCGGCTGCGATCTAGCGGCGGTTAAGCGCTAGCTGCAGCAGCCGACACGCGATCGCCGCGGCGCGCTGGCTGCGACCTGCGGGCGGGCGGCTGTGGGTCGCGCGTCGGCCTAGGGGCGAGCAGGGCCTACGGGCGACGGCTTCCTGGGGCTCGCGAGAAAAAATCGGGCCGCCCTAGGCGGCGGTTTTCCTACGTGCGCTAAAACGGCGGGGCCGCGCTCGGGCTGCTAGCGGGCTGCACACGGGCAGCGTGAGAGGAGAGCGCACGAGGGCGCACTAGGGGAGAGGCGCACGAGGGCGCTAAAAAAAAAGGGCGCACGAGGGCACCTCTAGCGGAAAGGTGGGCCCTTAGGTCTAGAACCTAAGCTCTTAATACCATGTCAGAAACAAGAAGTGATTGAACTATGAAACATTGGAGTACAAGTATGAAACCCTAGAGTTGTGTACCCCTTAAAGGCTAACCCACTATAGCCTACACAGCTATAACACATATATAATGTTTGACACGGGGATGTTCCTCATGGTTGAGGATGTGCAAGGGAGTGGGGGTGATGTGGGTTCGGTTGGGAAGGTTGTGATGCACCCCCTCACTCACTGGGTGATCGATTCAGGTTGCACAAGTCACATGACCCCACGGGCAGATTTGCTTGACGAGGTAAAGCCCCCTGGGAAGATCAAGTTTGTGGCTGCCGCTTCAGGTGCTTTGCTCCCTATGATTGGTGTTGGGAATGCCAAGGTAATGGGAGCCAATGGGGGGCTTGTGGGGCTGGGGAATGCGTTGTTGGTTGAAGGTTTGTCCGCTAACCTCCTCTCTGTGCGCTGGCTGCAGAAAAGCAAGGTCAAAGTGACTTTCGGCCCAACCAGCTGCCGTTCAAAGCTTGGGAAGTTGCTGCTGTGGGATTTGGAGGAGAAGAGCAGCTGCATCAAGGACCTATGGCAGCTGCCCATCATTCCTTGGAATGGGAAACAACCAGCAACGGCAGCGGCAGCAGCAACGGCTAAAGCAACTGCGGGAGGAGAGGAGACTGCACCAACTGCTGGGGCCCTGGATGCGGTCAAGAAGCTGCAGCAGCCACAGCAGCCACATGGTGAGGTGCTTGCTGGTGTGGATGCGAGAGCTGCATGGGCAAAGGCTTCATCTGGGAGTGGTGAGGCTGATTGGGAGACGTGGCATGAGAGGCTGTGCCATGTGAACATTCCTATGCTGCAGAAGTTGGTAAAGGATGGGTGCTTGAAGGGGCTGGAGGTGAAGGGGGCAGCAAAGGAGATTGGGAGCTGCCCTACCTGCCTTGAGACCAAATTCACGAAGTTTCCCTTCAGCAGCAGCACGGGACCAGCGAAGGCACCACTTGCACTAGTGCACATGGATGTGGTGGGCCCCACGAGGGCCCTTTCTCTCTCGGGCAGCCACTACTTCTTGACGATTGTGGACGACCACATGCGTGCGGTGTGGGTGTACCCTCTCAAGACTAAGGGGGAGGTGGCAGCGGCTGTTCTTAAGGAGTGGATGCCAAGAGCACAAAGGGAGAGCGGACACAAGGTGAAGGTGATCCGCACTGACAACGGAGGAGAGTTCATCGGCGCTGATTTTGAGAAGGAGCTGAAGTGGAAGGGGATCCAGCATCAGCTCACAGTGCCTTACAACCCTCAGCAGAACGGCGTGGCTGAGCGGTTCAACCGGACCCTGCAGGAAGGTGCTCGCACTCTCCTTGGGCATGCAGGGCTGCCGGATCCGTTTTGGGTGACAGCACTGCGGCAGGTCATTGTTGTGAAGAACCGGGTGCTGGCGACTGTGGGGGACAAGCAATGGGTCCCCTACACCAAGTGGTATGGGAGTGCACCTGCAGTCAACATGCTGAGAACTTATGGCTGCATGGTGGTGTTTCATGTGCCTAGGGAGAAGAGGGGAAAACAAGAAGCTTCTGGGAGATGGGGTGTGCACTTGGGGCTTGCTAAGGATCACAAAGGCTGGCTGATTTGGGACTTCACCAGCCAGCAGCTGACTGTGTCAAGGGATGTGAAGTTCCTTGAGTCCTTGTACTATAAGGAGTGGAAGCAGCAGCAGCAGAAGCTTCCTACTACACCGCTGATCATTGAGGCTGATGAGGTGCAGCGGCCTTCGGGACAAGTGCAGGTCACTGTCTTAAAGGAGGAAATCTCTGGGGTGACTGAGGATGGGGGAGAACCTGTGGAGGAGGAGCAGCAGAAGCAGCAGCAGCAGGATGCTCCACCACGTGACCAACGTCTGCCTGACCGTCCTCGGAGGGATGTGCGCCCTCCTAACAGGCTGCCCTATGCGAGCCGTGGCACGCAAAGTGTGGTACCGGCTGGAAGTGTGTCTGAACAGATGGATGAAGATGAGATAGCGTTTTGCTATGGAGCTGCAATGAGATGGTTTGGTGGATAGTGCTGTGAAACACAGGCTGTAGAGGGTGCTGCAGATTTGAACAAAGAGGCGATCTTGGAAGTGGGATGTTGGAAGGAGATGATTGTCCATTGGGATGAGTGTTGGAAGTGAATGCAACTAGTGGGAATGAGTGTGCATTGAGGATGCATGTTTGAACTATGGCATGTGGGATGATGGTAGGCAGCCAGAGGGGGAGTTTGTTATGTGATGCTATCACTTGCATTCACGTCTGTCTGCCTCCCATCATATGTTCGTGCGTTGCATGCGTGGTGTGAGCGTGTGCAAGAATTGTGTTTTGTGCGGTTTGGATTCTTTGGGTGTGTGTGAATGCTATTTGGCTTGAGCAGATATCTGAAGTGGCTCATCTGCTCAAGTGCTTTCCGACGAGCCAAGGATCACCTCAATCGAAGCACGAACGAGAAAGTTACGAACGTTCGAAGTTCGTATGCCTTTCATGTTTGGTTGTGGCGACTATGGGAAGTTGTGGGAATGACTTTATATGGGGTACAGACTTTTGGGGGTTGGGAAATTCGTACCCATCACTGTAGATGCTGCCAAGTGGTTGGGTGAAGCCAAACCAGGTTGGCAAGTGTGGCCAACTTGGGTGAGGTGGATTGTGGAGGTTGGGAAAGTGACAAAAGTGAAAGTGAGGTTGCCTATGGAGAGGGGAATTGTGTGGCATGGGGTTTCCTTGGTTGGGGACTCTCTTGGGACCTTCCCTCTCATCCTCCTCATCCCTTCCACGTGGTTTAGTGCTGCTCTAATTCTCTTGTGTGAACTTGTGTGAACTTTGTGATTGAGTTAAGATTCTATGGCAGCTTACCCCCTAGTGCGCCGAAATTGATAACTCAAGAAATACTTCACCTTTTTGTACGATTCAACTTGGGAATTGTAGCCACGGAGCAGAGCTACAACATATCTGAGTTTGGTGAAGTTTTGAAAGTGCGTTTTGCGTCGACGGCGTTTCTTGTGAACTCGACTTTTCTGTCCAGAATTCTAAGCCAACGATTTGAGAAATTCAGGCACCTAATCTTCGTAGACCTCATCCTTAATCTTCGCAGGCCCCAGGCGGGGGAACCTCGTCAACGTAGGTGCCTGTGGACTTCCAGGAAGCCATCTCTGCGTCCATAGCTGCCTGCCACTGAGAGGAGTAGGGACCCTCTATCGCCTCCGCGTAAGAGCGCGGAGTCGGGATGTCAAGTGCATCCGGGTCTCCCTCAGGGGTAAGCAGTACGGACACGAGATGAGGTGAAGCAGCAGCCAAACACTGGAACTCCTCCTGCCTGTCCTCAAGGACGTCCGTGCCAAGGGCACACTCACCCCCGACGGACGGAGGACAGACAGACTCAGACTCAGCAACAAGACTAGCAGCGTAGTCTAGACGACAGCGAGCAGCAAAGTCGACGTGCTCAGTAACTAGTGCAGACGCAGCAGTGGACTCAAAGGAAGGGTCAGTGACAACAGTAGCAAGGAGACGCGTGACAGTAGGACTGGCAGCACGAAGAGAGTCCGACTCCGGGTCAGGAAGAGCAGGAAGAGAGGACTCAGGAGGAGAAGGCAAAGGGGCACGCAGAGGAGCAGTGGACGGACGCAGAGACATCCGGTGCGTGCCAGGGACAGGAGGAGGACGCTGACGCGAACCACGACCACTAGTGCGAGCAGCACGGACAGGCGACGCAGGGCGAGACGCAGGCTCACGACGCTCAGCAAGACCTCCAGTAGGACCAGTGTAGGGAGAAGGAGCGGGCAGTGGGGAGGCCGGCTGTAACTGTAACTGTGACGGGACAGGCTGTGGACACTCTAAGGGAGGAGGAGGACCAGTAGAAGGCGGGAGACCAAGAACCTGCTGAAGGAGTGGAACGAAGTACGGCCGAGGCCGCGCGGCGACTCCAGACACAGCAGGGACAGCACCAGTACCCCCAGCGGCAGCACCAGCGCCAGCAGCACCTCCAGCTCCAGTACCTCCAGCAGCACCAGTAGCACCCCCAGCAGGACCGCCTCCAGGACCGACAGCAGTAGCCTCAGCGCCAACACCCTCAGCAGCTCCAGCTCCAGTCGTACCCGCAGGCCCAGCAGCTCCAGTACTCCCAGTACGAGCACCTCCGGGACCCGCGGCACCAGTACCCTCAGCAGCCGAAGAACCTCCAGCTCCAGCAGCACGCCTCCAGCGCCGGGCAAACCACTCGCGCAGCTCCTGTGGAGAGAGTGGCTCCCGCCGAGACGAAGCACCCGGAGAACCTCCAGGCTCAGCACCGCCAGACGCCACACGAGCAGGCCCAGCTCCCTCAGGCTCCGCACCCCCAGGCTCAGCACCTCCAGGCGTAGCACCCCAAGGCTCAGCACCCCCAGGCGTAGCACCCCCAGGCTCAGCACCCCCAGGCTCAGCACCCCCAGGCTCAGGACCCCCAGTAGTGGCACCCTCAGGCTCAGCACCCCCAGGCGTAGCACCCACACGCTCAGCATCCCCAGAGTCAGCACCCCCAGGCTCAGCACCCTCAGCAGCACCAGAGTCACCAGTAACCTCGACAGGCTCGACTGCGTCTACCTGGGACACACCTGAAGGGGCAGGACCCTGAGGGGGGAGGGGGCCTACCGGGGGGGGACCTGGCACAAGGAAGAGCGGTGGCGGGGGGAGGGACGGAGTGCGGTAGGGGAAGAGGCGGTAGTAGGGGACCGACTCGTCAAACGTGACGTCCTGGGAGGACAGAACACGGCGAGAGGTGGGGTGGTAGAACTGCCACCCTGGCGCATCAGGGGGGAAGCCAAGGAAGACGCAAGGAGCAGCACGAGGGGACAGCTTGTCCGCAGACAAGTCGCGGACAAACGCCCGAGATCCCCAGACACGGAACGCAGACGCATCGCCAACCTTCCCCGTCCACAGCAAAGCTGGGGAGGTCTCCGTCATGGAGACCCTGGGGTGAAGGTTGATCTGATGCGCCGCGTACCGAACCGCAAACGGCCACAGAAAATGGGGGGCAGCCGCATGCACCATGGACGTACGGGCGACGTCCATGACCATGCCAATGCGGCGCTCAGCAATCCCATTTTGCTGTGGAGAGTCCGGAAGCGTGAAGGTCTGGCGGATGCCTCGTGCACGACAGTAGGCTCGCAGAAGGCCAGAGGAGAACTCTCCACCTCTGTCAGAGTGCAGACGCAGAACAGGAAAGTCCGAGCCGAAGCTCTGCCTGAGCTGGAGACGAGCTGCGCGGATCCAGTCGATCAACACCTCAGTGACATCACCCTTGCTGCGCAAGGGGAAGACTGTGGTGTAACGCGAGTAGTCGTCAACCACCAGCAGGAAGTAGCGCTCGTGACCCTGTCCACGGACGCGGGCCGGGCCCCACACGTCCATGTGAAGCGTCTGCAGCGGGGCCTCTGTCGGAGGAAACTGGGAGGAGTGAGGGGCAGCCCGCTGCCGCCCCTCGACACAGGGGATGCAGGTAGGGCCAGGCCCCGGAGGAAGGGGAGGGAGGGACCGGGGAAGACCAGAGACAAGGACATGGGAGGCCATGCCTCGGAGACAAAGCAGGGAGGGGTGACCAAGGCGGTGGTGCCAGAGGAGAGTCTCGTGAGACAGAAGGCGACATGAACAGGGGGCAGACTCAGGACCAGACCTGGACGCTGCAGCAAACACCTGACCCGACGCAGCTACCTGACCAGACGCAGTGACTGGAGGAGACGCAGTGGTCAGTGTGTACAGGCTCGACCCCGGCCGACGTGTAAACGTGGCCAGGTGTCGGCCTGTCCGTGCAGTGGGTCACCCGCTGACTCGCAGGAGTGAACTGGTGAACCCCCGCATCCTGTAGGTCAGCACCACTCACCAAGTTCGTAGAGAACGAGGGGAGGTAAAGACCAGACAGGGTGCCAGAGGGGGCCGCCGGACACGGGAGGACAGTGGAGAAGTGAGCAAGGACAAGACCCCCAGAGGGGTCTGCCAGAGAGACTGCAACTGGCCGGCCAAGCGGCGTGAGTGTGGTGCGGTCTCGAAAGAAGGAGCGAGAAGCCCCCGAGTCAAGGGTGAAGGTGTGGGAGGCCGAAGCCGACGCAGTACCTGAGAGAGCAGACTCACCAGCACGTGAGGGAGCAGACGCACGAGCACCTAGAGCAGCAGCCTCGCTAGCACCTAGAGCAGCAGCCTCACCAGTACCTAGAGCAGCAGTCTCAATGCCCGGGTCGGGCGGAAAACACCGGTAACAGTCACCCTCATCACTAATAGTCACAGCATACATGGCAGCAAGAATAGCATCAAAGTCAAGGTCAAAGACAGCTACACCCGCCCTAGACAGCTCGCCCCAGCGAGGGATCTCAGTGGCCTCAGGGAACTGGTGACACCAAGCGTCCGTCAGGCGGCCAAAGCAGCGCTGGGTGGAGTGCGCACCCCCGCACTGCTCACCCGCGCGGTCGCCGGTGCGTAGGACGTAGGTGCACGGACCAGTACCCCCACCCCGCTGGCGTGCAGCGTACCACTCACGGAGCAGCTGAGGGGGGGGGATGTCACGAGTGCGCTGCTGCCGCTGCTGCTGCTGCTGCTGGCGCTGACCACCACCGGAGCCGACCCTCTGTGCAGCGCCACCCCGACCAGCTCCACCTCCTCCTCCGCCGCCTCCTCCACCGCCGCCACCTCCGCCACCTCCGCTCCCACCGCCACCGCCGCCGCCGCCTCCGCCTCCACTGCCGCCACCGACACCTCCACCCCCGCCACCACTCCCACCACCACCCCCACCCCCTCCACTGCCGCCACCGCCACCTCCGCCACCCCCGCCAGCCCCTCCAGCACCCTTGCCCCCCTTGCCCTTGCCGGTGCGGCGTCTCCCGCTCGGGGCAGACGCAGCGCCGACCGACTCGAAACCAACGAGGTCGGCCGCAGCAGCAGAGGCAACAGAGGGCAAAAGGGGGGAGGGGGAACACCCCTCAAAGACGGGGGTGCGAGGGTCACCACGAGAGGCTCCTACAGTGACTATGCTCTTCTTTGCTGCTAGGAGGGCCTTCTCGAGGAGGTCAACGGTGAGAGTGGTGGGGCAAACTGAGAGGAAGTGGTCCCTGACTACGCGAAGGGAGTCAGGGAGCCGGGTGACTATGTAGTAGAGGGTGATGTACATGGGGGGGGGGTTCTTGGCGCAGAACTCAGCAGGAAGCGCAGCGCGGTAGCGAGTGTCACTAGTGCGGAGGTGCGTAATGAGGTCAGCGACTGTGGGAAAGGCAGCAAGGTCAGGGAAGAGGTACGGTAGCATGAGACGGCTCAGTGCAGCAGTGGCAGGGGAGGAGTAGCGCGCAACGACAGCGTCGTACAAGGTGTGAGCACTCTTGTACTGGCTAAAGTGCGCACGCTTAGAGGTAGGCAAGTGGCGACGCACAGCAAGACGTGCAGCAGCATCGCGTGTGGCCCACTGTGGCGTCAGCATCAGCAGCGGGGGCAGGGGAGGCACCAGAAGTGAGATCAAAGAGGGAGAGACCGTCTGCCCTATCGCACTGTAGGAAAAGCTGCAGGTCATCTACCCAGACGTCAAAGTCAATGGCCCGACCCTCAGCGTCAAAAGCGAGGACACTGGGGGTAGCCATGACAGCAGTAGACTAGCAGCAGGAGCAGTAGGCTAAGGGCAGCGCAGTAGTAGTGGTGCTGCTCTTACCGGGCAGGCGAGACGGACCGAGTGTAGAGGACAGGGCGGCTCGGACGGCTCGGCGGCTCGGCGGCTCGGCAGCACCAGCAGGTCGGCAGCTCAGCGACTCGGCGGCTCGGGTGGCTCGGCGGCTCGGGCGACTCGGGCGGCTCGGGCGGCTCGGGCGGCTCGGGCGGCTCAGGCGCCTCGGCGGCTCGGGCGGTACGGTGGCTCGGGCGGCTCGGGCGGCTCGGGCGGTTCGGCGGCTCGGGCGGCTCGGCTGCTGCAGGGGCAGCGGCGGCTGTTGCTCACAGGACGGCGGCGGCCGCTGCTGCAGCGGCGGCGGCAGTTGCTGCTGCAGGGCCGGCGGCGGCCGCTCCTGTAGGGACGGCGGCGGCCGCGGTTGCAGTGGCGGCGGGTGCTGCTGCAGGGGCGGCGGATGCTGCTGCTGCTGGGACTGCGGCCGCGGTCGCTGTAGCGACTGCAGCTGCTGCTGCTGTAGAGGCGGCGACGGCGGGCCGAGAGAGGCCGCGAAGGGCGGCGGACGGGCCGTGAAGGGCGGCACGAGGGGCCGCAGAGGGCGGCGACCGGCCGTGAAGGGGCCGGGAGTGGCCGCGGAGGGCGGCGACCGGCCGTGAAGGGGCCGCGAGTGGCCGCGGAGGGCGGCGATCGGCCGTGAAGGGGCCGCGAGTGGCCGCGGAGGGCGGCTACGGGCCGTAGGGGGCCGTAAGGGCGGCGCGAGGGGCCGGAAGGGCGGCGCGAGGGGCCGTAATGGCGGCACGAGGGGCCGTCAGAGGGGCCGCTAAGGGCGACGCGAAGGGGCCGTAAGGGGCCTAGAGAGGGCGCGACGGTAGGGAGGGCACGCGGGGCGCGACTCGGGCAGGAGCGAAGCGCGCTCCGGGCAGGAAAAAAAAAATCGATTGGTGGGCCCTAGGAAGCGTTCCCACGAGGGAACCCGCTCTATACCATGTGAAATAACGAGGAAAATGAAATGAACTAAGGGAAAGTTGGGTACAAAAGCAAACCCTAGAAAACTGTACCCCATATGTGCTACCCCACTATAGCCTACAGTAGCTATGTCATATAAATCTGACAGAACATAGTCGATGGCATGTGGATTTTGAGATTGAAGCGGCCGCCGGGTTCTCTGCCTGCCTTCAAGGCGCATTACGTTGCACGAGGCTTCAGTCAGCGACATGGGGTCGACTTCTTCTAGACCTTCTCACCCACCCCGAAGATGACTACTCTTCGTTTGTTGCTGCACGTTGCAGCACAGCGTGTCTACGAGCTGCACTCCCTCGACTTCTCCACAGCTTTCTTGCAGGGCAGCCTTCACGAGGAGATCTGGCTGCGCCGCCCACCTGGTTTCACTGGGTCGTTTCCTGCGGGTACCCAGTGGAGTCTCCGGCGGCCAGTCTACGGCCTCCGCCAGGCGCCTCGCGAGTGGCACGACACACTAAGGACGACGCTTGCTGCTCTTGGGTTTGCTCCTTCCTCTGCTGACCCGTCGCTGTTTCTACGCACCGACACTACCTTGCCGCCGTTCTACGTTCTCGTGTACGTTGACTACTTGGTCTTTGCTACTGCTGACACTGAGGCACAGGCCCTAGTGAAGGCGGAGCTGCAGGAGAGACACACCTGCACTGACTTGGGTGAGCTGCGGAGCTATCTTGGCTTGCAGATCACCTGGGACAGAGCACGGTGCACCATCACCCTGACTCAGTCACACATGGTGCACCAGGTCCTTTAGCGCACCGACTTCAAGTTCTCCTCACCACAGCCCACTCTTCTGCCTACAGGCCACTCGCTCTCAGCTCCACCTTCGGATGAGTCCGTAGAGGCGAGTGGTCCGTATCCAGAGCTTGTGGATGTACCTGATGACGTGCACACGACCTGATCTCGCGTACCCTCTCAGCCTCCTGGCTCGATACGTGGCTCCCGTTAGACACCGAAAGGTGCACGGGGATGCTACGAAGAAGGTACTGTGTTACTTGTGCAGTGCATCGGGCATGGGGCTCGTGCTTGGAGGACGGGTTCCAGTGGTACTCACAGGACACTCCGACGCTTCTTGGGTCGACGACCAGGCGACTCAGCATTCGTCACAGGGTTACACCTTCAGTCTTGGCTCTGGTTCTGTCTCGAGGAGGTCCACCCGTTCTTCTTCTGTGCTCGGTTCCAGCTGTGAGGCCGAGATCTACGCTGGGGCCATGGCTGCACAGGAGTTACGCTGGCTGACCTACCTTCTGACCGACTTGGGGGAGCGGCCTCGTTCTCCTCCAGTTCTATACATCGACAACAAGGCCATGCTGGCCTTGTGTCGCGAGCAGAGACTGGAGCACAGAACGAAGCACATTGCTCTTCGCTACTTCCTTGCTCGTGAGCTACAGCAGCGTGGTCAGCTTCGCCTTTCCTACGTAGCCTCTTGGGCCAACACTGCTGATGTCTTCACCAAGGCCATCGGGTCTGGTGATCATCAGCACTTTTGCACTGCTCTAGGGATTCTGCCCACTCTGCCTCACCTGCTTATCTCTTGATCTTGCACTTGTTGTACACTGCTATATATCTGTATACCTACATGTTTACTCTTGCTAGGTTGTGATCAGTGTACTGCCTTGCCATTATAACTGTGCATGTGAACTGGCCTTGTGGCCGCTTGCTTGTGCTCGGAGTGTGTGGTATCTTTGAGATCCACCCTGGACTTTGCTTTGCTTTCTTCTCTTGCCTGACTGGTCTTGTGACCGTTCGTTGTGTTGGCTATCCCTCAGTTTGCCTATGGGGGTGTGTCAAATTACATGCTTGTTAGCTTGTGGGCTACAGTGAGGTTCACTCTAGAGGGGATAACCCAATTCGGGTTTCCTACTTGTATCCACCTGCTACCTAGTTCATCCATTCCTGCCTCGTAATCTCAACTGTCATCTCCCAGACCTACCCTTGCCCATGTCTTGATGAGATTCCATTATAAAAAATCCACGCTCACACTCGACAATCTTGAACGGGTAGCTACGCTGCCACTCGTTGTCGGCGTCAGATTGAGAATTGATGAAATTCATTGTTACAGTGCAGCGATGCCATTATTACTGCCACCAGCGATGAAAGGTCTATGAGTTATTTCATGGATGGCCTTCTCGCCATAATGATCTTTCATGGATATCCATGAAATGCCGCGGGTGAGGCATGAATTTCATGGATGGCCTCATGGCAATTGGGATGTTAAGTTCCCAGCCGATTCTTGCGGCATTCCCGAGGTGCTTCAGTCTTCAGCCAAATCCTCGTTAATTTGGCATCCTTACTGACACCAAGACGTGTGCATTCCAACATTCGGCCATGGTGCCTGCCGTTCCGCTTCAATGTAGCACAGTGACCTCGAATGGCCTGCTCGCCGCGCCTCGGTTCGGTTCCAGCAAGCCGCGCTGTGCCTCTTTAGCCTCAACCCTAGTACCGCTGCCATGCAAGCTTACCTCTTCTAGAGCCACCCCCGCGCAGCCCTTTTTCCATCAGAGGTGCAGCATCATTGTAAATGCTCAAGCTTCGCAAACTCCCCCCTCTTCCACGACTCCTCAAGATGAGTCACTCCCGGCTTCGCAGCAACTTCCAAGCCTTCCGGCATCGTTAACAGAAGCCACAACTTCTCTTCTCGACATTCTTAAAGCCGCGGCTAAGCCTGCGCTCGCCGCGCTCTTAATCACCGCCGTCCTTGCCGCCGGCGCCCCGGACGCCGCGCTCGCCGCGCAAGGCGGTGGCAGAATCGGCGGAAGCGGCTTCGGTGCCTCCCGCATGCGCTCGCCCCATCCCCCTCTGCCCCCCGTGGCGGCGGATACTCCTACTCCGCGCCTCCTGTGATCATTGGGCCGTCCGTCCCGTTCTTCGTGCCGTCCCCGTTCTTCTCCGGTCCCCCCTTCGCCTACGGCGCCGGCGGGCTCTTTAATCTCCTCGTAATCGGGATCGTAATCTGGTTCGTGTCGCAGTCAGTTATGGGGTTTTTTAGCTCCGCGGAGGAGGAGGGAGTGTGGCAGGAGACGCAGCGCAGCAGTGTGGTGTGGCTACAGGTTGGGTTTGTTAGGCTCGGCAAGGCACCTCCAGCGGGATCTGGATTGGATCGCGGACCGCGCGGACGCGAGCTCACCCGAGGGCCTTCACTACATCCTGCAAGGTACAATACTGCATTCCGTTACTTTAGTTTTTTTTCGGAAGACGGCTAGACGGTTGACGCTTTCACCATGGATGCGAGCTCGCCCGAGGGTCTTCATTACATCCTGCAAGGTACATTCCACGTTGTGTGCATTGTGATGGCTTTACGGTATTATACTTACATTGTAGCACAAAGTATCCGTCCGTATGTTCCTCATTCTATTTTTCGAAGACGGCTAGACGGTTGACGCTTTCACAATGGATGCAAGCTCACCCGAGGGCCTTCACTACATCCTGCAAGGTACATTCCACGTTGTGTGCATTGTGATGGCGTACAGAATTGTACTTACATTGAGGCACAAAGTGTCCGTCTGTATGTTCCTCTTTCTCTCTTTCCTGTATATTCTTCCTTCCTCTATCTCTTTCTCTCATTCTTTCTTTATCCCTTGCCATTTGGCAGAGACGGTGCTGGCGCTGCTGCGCAATCTGGACTACTGCATCTACGGCTTCTCCTCCGTAAGTGCTGGAAAACATGTGTGTCCTGAGTTAGGTGCTTTGGCTGTTGAATGTGCCTTAGCTTACAACTTAATATGCAACAACTTCTCCTCTGTAAGTGCTGGAAACCATGTGTGACCTGAGTTAGGTGCTTTAATAGTTGAGTGTAGTAGCTTAGGGCCTGGTAAGTAGCAACCCGGATTATTGCATCTACGGCTTCTCCTCTATAAGTGCTGGAAACCACGTGTTAGATCCTTTGGAAGTTAAGTGCTTTTGTGTCTCGCTAACAGCAATCCAGTCTATAGCATCTACGGCTTCTCCTCCGTAAGCGCTTTCGAATTCTCTTCCATTCGAACCATTTCACTGCTTTCAACCGAGTGAGCTTGATTAATTTTAGCACGCGCGTTGCAAGAGACAATCCGAACTACTACATCTATGGTTTCTCCCTTTCCATTAGTGCTACTGGTAACACTCTTTGCAATACGGAAAGGAATGTGTTACCAGTAGCACTGACAGAGGAGGAGAATGCAGCACATTGGATTCCATTCATGAGCTGTTTTCAAGTATTATAGGGAGCAAGAGCAAGTTCAGGAAGTAGGCAACTTGTTTCCCTCACCCTTTCTCTCCCACCATTCCCAACCGAACAGTCCGAGGTAAACAACGACTCATATGCTGCCGACACTGCACTCAACCGCATTTGCATGAACGAGGAGAGCAAGTTCAAGGAGGAGACTCTTGTTTCCCTCAGACCCGTAGCCCTCTCCCCCTCCCCCCTTTTCCCCTTTCCTCCCCTCTCTCCCTGTCCACCATCTCTCAACCCTACAGTCCGAGGTGAACAACGCCTCGTATGGTGGAGAGGCAGCGTTCAACCGCATGAGCATGGAGGAACGGAGAAAGCTCAAGGGGGAGACTTTTGTACCGCTCACCCTCCC